TTTTTTTTTTTTACTAGCCAAATGATTGAAATCAAATCTTTCTAAAAATTGAAACACTTTCTTTACTTCTTTCTTTCTGTGTGTTTTTTCAGGGCTAAATGATTCGAGCACGCCGTGTTGTGTGACGTGGCTAAACGGGACGTCAGGCTGTATACCGGAGCTCGGGGCATTGGCTTGCCGGGACCCGGAAAGGCACTATTTTTGGGATGGATATCATCTTACTGAGACCATGTACAGGACAATAGCCACATATTGTTTCAATGGCTCCTCTGTTTGCATTCCCAAAAACATACAACAGCTTATTTCAGAAGCTTGAACAATATATTGCAATAGAAAGAAGAAAGAAAAATGTTGTAAAGAATGAAAGAAATAAAAGGAGGAATAATTTTAGTTTATTACTTGAATTTGTGAAACTGATTTATATTGTGATGTAGTGAGTATTGTGCTTATTAAACAAAGAAAATTACAAGTGCTAGAATATAGTTTGAGTAAATTTTGTGCCATTTTTTCTACTTTGGGTCAGTTTTTCTCCTTTTAGCCATTTTTGAGCTGGTCTCTATCTCCCATTATCTCTAAAAAAACTCAGATCTAATTTTTGCTGTGGCCTTCATCCAGGACTTCTCCGGGCCATCTCGGCGGTCCGTGCTGCCGGGCGCTCAAAGGCTCGTCGGACCGGCGGCTTCCTCTTCCCGAGTGAGGCGGTGGGTTCGTCCAATTTAGATTTCGCCTCCTAATAGGTCACCACGGGTTCGTCCAATTTAGATTTCGCCTCCTAATAGGTCGCCACGGAGGTTCTTGGTCGGCGGTTCCCAGGCATCTGGGTGGCGGCAATTTTCCGACGAGCCTGAGACTAAGAGTTGTGGTTCCGATCATCACTTTTGGATTTGGTGGTGGTCGGGCTGAGATCGGACCGTTTTGCTTGCCTCCATTCTTCCGCCTAGTGCTGTAAACGAACCGAACCGAACCGAGCTTGGGTTGTTCGAGCTCGTGTTCGTTTATGTTCGAACAATGTTCGTGTTCGTTCGTTTATTTTTCGAGCAAAAAATCGTGTTCGAGATCGTTCGTTTAATTGTTCGTAAAAGTTCGAGCTCGTTCGTGTTCGAAAAATTTAATGCATAAACTTTGTAAATATGTTTAATTAACTCAAAATTTGTTCGTTCGAGCTCGTTCGAACTCGAAAATAAAAGAACAAAATAAAAATATTTTTATATTTTATATTTTTATTAAAAATATTATGTGAATATATAAAAAATAAATAAATTTATACTAAATTTTAGATTTTTATTAAAAATATTATATAAATATATATAAAATAAAATAAAATTATATTAAATTAGTGTTCGCGAACATAATCGAACGTTCACGAACGAGCTCGTGTTCGTTCGATTATTAAACGAGCCTAATTTTTTGTTCGAACTCGACTCGATTAATAAACGAACGAGCTTTTGTCGAACACGAACGAGCTCGAACGAGCTTTTGTTCGCGAACGCTCGGTTCGTTTACAGCTCTACTTCCGCCTGTTGGTTGCGTTGGCGGAGTCGAGTCGGGGCCGGCTCTCGTGTCCTGGGCTCGGGTCATCGGGGTTGGGATGGTGGAATTTGTTATTGATATCCGGTTTCGGGTCTAGGAGTTGTCTACTAGGGCGGGGCAAGGCTTTTAGTCTTGAGTAGGCGATTATTATGCAGTTTATGACTTTGCGACTTAGACCGGGTCTTGTCAATGTGGGTGGTATTAGTTGTGGGTAATTTAAAAAAAAAAAAACTATTGTAGTATTTAGGTCAGTTTTCTTCTGCCAAATAAAATATATCCTTAAAAAAAAAAGAATTGCCCAGGAAATTACTCTCAAGTAATTAAGTTACAAAAAACTACCCCTGAAATTCACACTAATTGCAAAAAAACCCCATTCTTCTTCAAAAATTATGGAGAGGCCATCAAAACTTGATGAGAGAATTTCCACACTGTAAAAACAAGCAAATTTCTCCAGAAACCCCAAAAAGAATCAAATAAGCAAGCAGGATAAATGAACTGATTAACCAAAGCTTGCAAATCTCTAAACTAAGTATCACAGGACAATGAAAATTACAAACAATAACTATTAGGATAGTGTTTGATTTGCACAAGCAGTTCTTTTACATTTCGAGAAAGAAGCTACTCAACATACACATTGAGTAGTATAAATCTTTCGATACCAATACAACACGAATCAATACAAACCCGTCTCGAATTACATCATAATCACTCACTCACGGTGAGTCGGGCCTTTCTTGAACAATGCATAGGCATCGCTATATATAGCGACCAGATTGGAAAAGACAGCAAGAATTATCATGAAAACGGATAAGAACTTGTCCCGGTTTGTGGCTATACCATATCGATCCCTGCACGAACGAGAGAAAATTATTTTATCCATGATTATAAATAAGAAGATGAAACAATTAAGTACTAAATGGACCCAACTTTTAATTATCTCTTTTTTTTTTTTTTTCAAAAGTAACTGGTTTGCTTCATAAATAGATAAATTGAGGAAGATTGCAGAGTTTTTACTGCAAAGCACAAAGTGTTCTTTCACCTGGTTTATGAAAACATGCAATATTTTTCAAAGTCTACAAAGGTATTCCAAGTGAAGATATGAGTTTTTTTTTTTTTTGGCATATCCACTTTCAGATTAGTGACTCGAAAGTAATTAACCTGTCAATGTAACATAATATCAGCACGACATTCATTTTTTTCCCTTTTCTAACAGAAACAAGAATGATTGGGAGTCGAATAGACAAAAACCGTGCCTTTTCTGATGCAATAGAGCTCAAACTTCGGTCACTAAAAAATTCCCATCATATGTTTAAAAACCAAACTTAAAAAAAAAAATAAAAAAAATCACACTATCTTCAAAAGGTAATTAATTCAATCACAGACTCACCTCAGAGTAATGGCAGCAGGAAATATAAAACCAATGCAAACAGCTGCAGTTGCTCCTGTAAACTGAAAAGCATCCCAAATGCTCGGTATAAAATTCGCACCAAGAAAAAGCAAACCCATGAGCCCAATGCTAAGGGACACGAATCTTAGGTTGTCTGAAGCCAAAGGTTTTGCTGAAGGAAAAAGGAGCCCGTCTAAGTTTAACCTAAGAGGATAGAACACGATTGGGAAAACGAGCATTAGGTGGGCCGCGTAGCTGACCCGAACAGCATCATTGAGCAGTGACCCGAACGGAATTCCGAGGTCGGTTGAGAAGTTGGCCAGCACGTCGTCCAGAGTGGCGTCTCCGAATAAAAGGAACCCGAAAAGGCTCGTCATTACATATACGCTGGAACAAAGAGTGAGGGAGGTACGCACAACCCCCTTCATTTGAGTGTTGTCCTCGAGCTCGTTATATATTGTGTGGACTTGCGAAAAAAAAATGCATGTTGTGAAGCAACGTAAATAGAAAGAAAGCTAACAATTTGCTTTTTGGTCCTATGATTTAATATTTTGCTGCAATGTAGCTCGAGTAGAAAATGCATTTCTCGGGGACAAGGATCTAGGGTTAATGCCAATCAATCGGAAGAACTTCCTACAAGAGGAGCTGGGGGTGACATAGAATTTGTTAGTTACAACGATCATTTGTAGTAAACTACAGTTGCAGCATTTCTCAAATTCCCAGATTTTCGATTAGCAATTTAAGTCCTGTAATTTAAAATTTTGTTGCAATCGACATATTAAATCAATCACATGACGAAAAGGCGAAAAGTTGGATATTGGGACTAAAATTGTTATGACGTTAAACCAGAACTAAAAATGCATTTTTTTTTTTGGGCCTTCTTGATTCAAATTAGCCTCTAGTTGAGAAACAAAAGCAAGACGAAGGTTCCCAAATGAGAAACAAAGGGGGGAACCCAAAAAAAAATAAAAAAATCAAGCCGTGAATTGAGAAGTTGAAAAAATGAGCCCAAAGCTGAGATAAAACTTAACAAATGAAATCCGGGTCCCTTCATTGAAATATTTCCTTACACGTTTATGTGGAGATTTTTTTTTTATTCCTTCAAAGAAACCCTTGATATAAGCTCATCATGTGAAACCAGAAGTTTTCAAGTTCAACAAAGACAAATTAACGCATACCATTGTAGTGGCAGATATAAGCCGTGACAAGAACAGGAACGGCAGTGAAGAGATTGAGGAATGAGGTTAGATTGTTGACATCTGGAAATAACCGAGGCATAAGAGTAGTTCCGTTTATCAACTTGAAGACTGTGATTCCCACAGTTATAACAAGAAACACTACAGCTAATGCCACTGATAAAGCAGAAGTGTATCTCAATGAATCTGCAAAGACAAAATTTTTTAAGGTAGAATTAGCTAAATGGGAAGAAAAAAGCCAACATTACAAGGTGAGCTTCGTTTTTTTTTT